ATATATAGATCTCTGTGAAAGTATTGCGATTTTTAGTACCAAATCGAATAATCTTGCAACCCACTTCTCTTTGCCAAATCTATATCTTTTTCTGTCATTGTTCTAGTCGTCGGTGTTCTTTTTCATTCATTTTTAATGTGCACGCCATTTAAATCAGTAGTGACTTTAGTTACTTAAAACAGGCACTTAATTTCTTACTACACTCGAAGAAAAATACTCATGTTGCCAAATATTTCATAGGGAAACAAACCTACAGATGAAAATACAAAATGTCAAAAAGACACCATTTCTACCTCACATGCAACGAAAATAATTACAACAAAGGGTCTGCAATGGAAAAATAAAACAGCAATTGCAACTGTTTTTACGTGTATTTGTGATATTGTCATGCTTCGGGTCTCTTTTTCGTTAGAACGATCGTTTTCATGTTGTTTCCTTTAATTCTTTTCGTTGTTCAATGCGTAGGTCATTCCGAACACATGGCGTAATAATAGTCGTTGTCGTTGTTGTCATTGTTATTGTTTCAAAAACTTTCCCGACTGCATGCGAATAATACAAAGTTTTGAAGAAAACTTTCTGATAATAACAACAATAGAAACCATCGATTCACTTATGACCAACTCCAATTCATCAATTTCGAAGGTACCAAACGTGATTGGTTAATCGATGCTCTATAACAATTTTATGTCAAGTCCAATCTATTTACCTTGAGACGTGCACTGAATTCAATTACATCAATAAAAAGTAATTAAATCAGAAACGAATCCAGTATCGCTTTATCGTTAAAAAAAATCTTCCATGTATATAAAACCTCTGGAATTTTTTATAAAGCAGAGCATCTTGATTTGCTGCTGCTCAGCATATAGCTGAGAGCTGAGAAATGCTGAACTCGTGCGGCTAACGCATACGAAACATTGTCAAAAGAAAGTAATTTCCAAAAATATATTATTATTTTCCATTTTTCCGCCGCAACATCGAAAATTCCAAATGTCGGATATTCGTCGTCCAATTCTCGGCTCCCAAATCACTTTCCGATCAATTTGTTCGGAATTATTCCGAAAAACATATTTCTATGAATGAATATTGTTTTGAATAATATTGTAGCACATAACGAGAATAATAGTCGTTATTCATAAGACAAAAAAAAATAAACAATATTCCACTTATTTTGTTCGGAATTATTCCGACACCTCTTTCAACAGTGGAATTATTCCGACAATATATTGAGCGGACTATTCATTTGAAACTAATATTTTTTTGTCTTTTCAACGTTTGGCGTCAAATATGGACACCAAAAGTACCAAAATATAACTTTTATAAAGCTCTACATTTGTCGCCAAACATTGAAAATATTAAAAAAATTGTTACACACTCAAAATATAAGCTACGGTCAGGCGCTGAATCGGACTGAAAGCAATAGAAGTGGTTGTTATAGTGATTGTAGTAATGTGAGTGTTAATATAATTATAACAATAACTTTTATTGTTTTCACTGAGCTGAGTTGTTTATATAAACAAATGATTCCGAACGATTTTTGTGGATTGTTCTAGAATATCGGCCCTGATCTATAATATTTTTGGTTGAATTTCACAATGATCCAAATACGACTTTAACTGTCACATCTGTTAAATGCAAAGTGTTTCACTTGAAACTTTGGTGCTTTATGTGTCGGCAATTGGACGATTTATTCCGGAATAATATTACAGTGAAAAATGAAAAATAAATATAATTGTTTTTCTTTATATTTTCAATATTTCTGTTCAATAATTAAATTAAACTATCTACAATTCGCAGACATATTTTTTTTCCAAATTAGTTATTTTGTCATATAAAAAATGCATTTTACCGGCTTGTCTCAAAACGACATAGCTAGGGGGCAGACACGTGGAATAGGATTAGACTTTTAGTGTAAAGATTCGAGAAATTTCAATGAAATAGCAACGTATGTGAATGGATTCGCATGGAATAGCGAAACAGTGCATGGAATAGCAAAAATTGTTTCACTTCAAATCCATTTGACATTTCTTTTGACTTTTATTGATGGATTAGTGGAATAGTGTGGAATAGCAGAATTAACATTTTTGACGGAAACAGTGCATGGAATAGGAAAAATAGTTTCGATTCCACATTTGTGTTTTTGGATTAGTGGAATAGCTGGATTAGTAATTTATATAGTGGATTCGGAATTTATTCTCGGTGTCTCCCCCCTAGCGACATAGTTTTACTTTTGACGTGAAAAAGTGATAAAAATGCCGAATTTCTTTTGAACGTAATTTGTGAAAGCAATAATAGATTTTTGATTAAAATTTGGATTATAATAAAGAGATTTGATATTGATCTTTTATAATTTACTTTTAAAAATTCAATTAAAATGAATTTTCAATTTTTAATTTCAATTCACCTCTCGGTATTCCTACATTTGGCAATGTACTGTAATAAAATAATAATAAATGCCAGTATGAAAGAGGATAAATAATTCTCTATCCTTCTCTATTTTTTTTTCAGTTAATTTGGAAACAAATAACTAATAATAATATATAATATGCCATAAGCGCAAATAATTCGAAGTCTATTGCATTATCAAATCTCATTGAAAATATCATCTGTACGCGCGCGTGTACGTGCTTTTATGTGTGTTTGCATTGCTGCGTTTTAATTCAATGAATTACACGTTTATATTAACATCACTTTATGTCAGAAAGTAGTTCACCCAACCGATATATGTGAATGCCTGTAAATGTAAATCGTTTTATATCAAAATCCATGTTAATTGATTAAAAAATCGCAAATGGAATGGAATATTTACCGAAAATCGCATGTGAAATTTTAATCATAGCATGGGGCGGAAATGAATGAGACGAAATTTTCTCTCTCATGGGCGCAGCCATATTGAAAATTTTGTATGCGCTTATATGTAAAATTGGTGGCGCCACTGGTATATTTGATGGAAAAAGAAGAACATGTTTGAGTCTCACTCGTTTATATGTAAATTACATAGGCATTTCCAGGCCATGAATCATAGAATCAAATAAATAAACGATGACTATAGCGACAACTATTTGTCACTCTTAGCGTTATCTATCGGCATACTAAAAATAGAAAATATAACTAGTAATTATAGTTTCACAATACTGAATTCAGTAACATGATGGATTGATTTTTCACCATTTCATATTAAAGCTTATTCAACTAAAGAAGTTATTATCTACACCTCAAAAACAATTAACAACAAGCATTGCTTAGCAAATATTTGTTATGTTGTTACACGAGCAAAACGAAGGCTAAAAATGAGAATGGGTAAATGCACAAATATGCAAAAACAAATATAAACTAAAGAGAGAAAAAGAAGTGATCAAAAGAATCTGTGCAAAAGAATCAACGACAAAGATACATTATGCGCTGATCATCCTGAACTACGTTATTGTGTATAAATAATGCACATTAGTGTTATATATATAGCAAGCATGATAAGGAATTGAAGAAAAATACAATAATTTTACGTAAAATGAGACGTATAACGTGCATGCATGTATTTGCCAGATTCGGATTCAATTAAAGACAGAGATAGAAACAGAAACGTGCTACATGCCAAGTAACAACAACCGCAGCAAAAAAAAAGCATTGTGAAAATATGAATTCAGGAGTGGCTTATTACAAGTACACTAACCAGTAAACCTTCTAATATACACCCCGATTTCGCATGGAATCGGTAGAGAGGCCCAAAGAAAATAATATAATTTGAAAAATTTGTGTAACATATTAGAAGGTTTACTGGGGTAAGCGCTTCTGTGATTAGTTTGCCAAGAAGCACATTGTTTGACAAGTACGATATCATGTTCACATAAAGTATCCTTGTATGCGCACTTTGTGGAGCACAACATATGATACTATTACATTAAATAAGAAGAATTCTCATGGTAAATACTTTTCTTGCAGACATCAAATGAACATAAAAGAAATAGTTTGTTATGCGTTCAAATAATGATCTCGCGGGCGTACAGATCCACAAAATCGTGCACGTATGGTGGCCGGCATTTTCAATACATTATTTAGATATTCAAGTACAAGTATTTTCGTTTTTTTATTCTTACTTCCAAAAATAATAATAATAACTTATTCGTTACGGTATTATTCCTGTTATAAGATTTTTAATTTTTCGGTTATTATACACTTTATTATTCTGATTGCACTCAATCAGATGCTTCACTCTGCACAAAGTATATAGTTGAATAGCAAACCAATATTATAAGTTGATTTTTTTGTCTTGTTGGCGCTGCTGTTGTTTTACTGTTTTTCTTTCATCGCTTTCGTGCACTATGAATATTCGTTGTCGCCGCAACTTTTTTTTTGAAATTTTACATTCAAACACATTTTTATAATTACATTTTCGCTGTTGTTCGTTATTGTACATTCTTGCTTTTTTTGCTTATTCGCACTCAATTTTGCTTGTTCGTGCGTAAGGAAGTTGTTTCAAAGTTTTAATTTTGAATTTTGAAATTAAACGAACAAATAAGGGACATCTATAGAAATTATTTTCATACAGCTAATTTTAAAAAGAATGTGTGAACAAATATCGATGAAAAGATTGAACTGACGCTCATCAACTCAATTCAGTCATTCTCGTCTGTCAAACAAAGAATATAAAGATACAATAAAAAAATATGCTTCATATTGTTCAGCTAAATAGCAAACGATTAGAAATACATTGAATTAGAATGTACAATAGATTCGTCTCGGAATATCCTTTCGGTCAATTAATCACGTATTCGATACGTGGTGGTCCATTATTTTCAAAATAGAAAATTAATGAATGAATTATCGTTTTTTTTTGTCATAAAAGGCATACTCGATTCTTAATTCTTATAATTTAATCGAAATATAACAAAGCATTGTAAAAAGCGTTTATTTCGATGAAGATTTCAATCAAGTTCTTTTTACTTTTATTAGGTAACCAAAGCATCATCATTTTATAAACTAAATTTGGTTTTTCAAATATTCAGGTGTCGTTCGGGATGGGAAGGACCGTTATGTGATCAATGTAAAGTTTATCCCGGATGTAGACACGGCTACTGTAATGGAACTGCTTGGAAATGTGTTTGTGACACCAATTGGGGTGGAATTTTATGTGATCAAGGTATGTCTATAAATTGAAATCAATTCAATCACATCAAATTCATACTAATCCATATTATTTTGAATTTAAAACCAAACAACATTTAAAATCAGATGTTGGCGAATATAACAATATAAGTAGCATAGTTAAATTGACGAATGCTGTCATCTAACCGACATATTATTAAAAGAAAGAGATACACTGACGCATTGCAGTCTATCAAAAATTGTGCGTATTCATAGTCAATCTATTGTAGTCAATTTCAACCGCATCCGCACTCCAAACAATACAAACATAAAAAATTTCCTGATACAATCCGAAAACCAAAAGATTGTACAAACAATAAATTACAGTTTAACGAATCTCGCCCCTGTTTCCCTAATAAAAATTACCACACTTGATTATCGTATATTCGTAACGGAATGAAATAAACAATAGTCGGTTCGTTAGTTTCTTTTGTTAGGTCATTTATGTGCAAATGTGTTAAAAGTATGAGCATATGAATGAGCGACATATATAGAATGCATATACAAAATACACACATTTTAAAGTTTTTGATGCGTGACACAATCATTGATATGATATATAGATACATTGATTTTCTTATATTACTATATTTAGATACATTGTCGCATTTCCCCTCTTCTACTCCGGGAGATTCAAATAGGAAATTGAATGTGTATTGCATTTATTATAAGATTTGAAATGCAAAGGACATTTCAGATTCATGAATGTGCGGAAGGAAAAAAGTATGTCAGCAGAGCAAGTGCGGTCATATGTTCAGAAAAAACAACACTCGAGCACATATTGCTATAATTTAAATGAAATACAAACGATGCACATCGGCATCAGGTTCAAATTTAATTCAATTGACTGAAAAAAATATCGGGGTTTTCACCCTTTTTTTAGTTGTATATGGAATGATCCTGAACGATTATACATCAGTTTCTTTTCATTCGGTTAGTTAGGTCACACATATTTTTTCTCTTTTTGTTCATTGCGATATTTTATCGTACAAAAGCATCCATCCCTTTTTGGTCGTATTGCACATTAGGTCATCATTCATCTATTTCTCTGCTTAAAAAAATGATAATAATTACCGAGCCTATTGAATTACTTTTGAGCCATTAAAAATTGTAAACATTTTCTCTTTACACTTGTGATTCCGACTCATTTATAGCACAATCTGTTGTTATATTAGATTAGTTAAGTAAAACGTAGACCATTTTTTGTTTTAGAATGCAATGAATAAGAAACTGAAACTTTTGTTCAGACGAATAATGGATAATGGCAATTTAATTTCTATTTTACGTATTTCTAATTCTTCCATTTTCATTGGATTGAACTATTTCTTTTTTTCTTTTCTTTTGTTTCATCCAAACAGATCTAAACTATTGTGGAACTCATGAGCCTTGTTTGCACGGTGGAACGTGTGAGAATATTGCACCAGATCGATATCGTTGCACGTGCACTGAAGGACTATCGGGCGATCGTTGTGAAATCGTTGAACATCCATGTGCAACCCAACCATGCAAAAATGGTGGAACGTGTACCCTGAAGGTATTCATATCGTTTTAATTGTTAGCTTATACCGGTACCGGATCTATCGATCGATTGTAATTGCCATCAATTTGTAAATTGGTATTTTCAAATACCTATCTTCTGTGTCCATAAAATGTGATAACTCTACAGAGTTGAAGTTAAACAAATAATTGGTAATTGAGATTGTGGAACCGATTTAATACAAAAACAATCGCAGAGTTACTTTCAATTTAAGTGAAAAGCCACTGAATATAAGGCATTTTCAAAAAACGATTGGTTTTCCAGAAATTTAAGCTTACATGTCGGCAATCCTAGCGGCAATCTGTTGAACAAGAAGGCGTTTCATCACTTGATTTGCGTACTATACATATGATAATCGATTTATTTCGTCGTTTAATTGATTGCCGACGGCGTTTTTCCACCATACACTTTGCACAAATGTAAAATTAATTTGCATTGAATTCGGTTCATGTTTGTGTATGTGAGAGAGAACGTGTAATTTCGTTCAATTCAGTTGGCGCATATCATTCATTTCCTTTTATGCTTTGTCTCTGGCATTCGATGTGGGTTTTTTAACTCCGTTGGCATTCAATAATGGAAAGAACCATCAACATTTCAATTCAAATTGCGTTCTCTTTTTTAAAGATGATGATTGAATGCAAACAATTTTAACTTATGGTTTTGAAATGAAACCGAAAAAATATTTGATGGCTTTTTGATTATGCACTTCATCGTGACCGATGACAAAAATATAAACGTAACGACACTTGATTGCAATAATGGTGAAAAACTCAAGTAAAAGAATATACTATATACGTCCAAAACTGATCGGCTTTGTTGATTGGCAGAAGTGTATGTATATTTTGCGAAAGTGTTTCATGTGCGTAAGCAAACGATTGCATTACAATAATAATTGTAATTGTGTATAGAGCACACACAAAGTACCTATTGAAATAGAAATAAATAATAGAAATTTTCTATTTTTACCCCCAACATACCCCCTAAATGGTTTTTCAAAATTCCCACCCCCATGGAAAACCCGATTATATGCGCAACCCTGTATACATTCGAAAACCAAATTGAATATTTGGCGATTTGAAATATGAAGCACTCATTTGATGTTTTTTTTATAATACTTTTTTTTGTTTTTTTTTTTTTTTTTTTTATACGATGTTGCTATTGTTTTTTGGTACAGAATCCAATAAAGTATGACAGTAGTAGCCGGAAAGAAGGCGATAAGATACTTGAACAAACGACAGCCGTTGTTGTTGTGCGAGGAATGCGTGGCATGAGTTCAATGGGAAAACCAGTTAGTATGCGACCAACTAGTGAATCTAATAGCGTCATATTGAACAACAATGCAAAAATGTCGTCTATATTATCACCAACACCGCCTGTCAACGAGTTCACTTGTACATGTGCCACAGGATGGACTGGACCCACTTGCGAAATAAGTAAGTAGTAGTAGTAGTATATTTTTCGTCCAAAATCTTAACATATCTTATAAGTTTTATAGACGATTCATCAAAATTAATTCGATCGACAAACGGTTCGGTGTTGACTATAATATTTTCCCATAACGAAAAATGAATATTAATGTGCTTGAAATAACTAATCATTTCAAATTAACTACCGATAAAGTAATTTTAATGCTCGATAATTGAACTCTTGGAGAATAGAGTTTATCCTAAAGTATAAATATGAATTGGTTCAATACTGCACTTTTAATCCTTTACAATATCTCGTCGATCATATTGTGAGCCGAGAAATACAGTAATCAAGATTCACCTTAGTAAAAATATGTTAATTGATATACAAAGTTCTTGTTGTTGACTTATACAGCTGGTAAAATACCTAGTGTTGATAAGAAGAAAAAAATGGAAAAAATGGTAATTAATCAATGCGTAATGGAACGGAATGGAAAATGAAATTAAAAAAAGAAAGTGTATACTTTATAGTTTAAAAGCAAAATCAATGACCACAACAACAACATTGCTTAAATTTAAGATTTCATTTTAGCAGCAGTAGTGTTGAGATCGCTGATCACTGTGAAAAGAGAAAAATTAATATGCTAACTATTTCTAGTACTTGTTAGCATCGTCCACCACTACGTCTTGGTATCATTGTTTCAAACAATGAGATTCCCATTATGAGAATGTTCGCGTAGACGTCCGTCCTTATATTTTTGATTTTTGATTTTAATTGTAGTAATAATGGAGTTGATGCCTGAATAGTCGGAAATAATTTGGCATCGGCAGATGATTCAACATGTACAATCCTTTCTTAATCATATTTCTCGCTTCATTCATGTCGCGATTGAATATAAGTGTTGTTTTCCATTCCTTGGGTTCCAGCTTCTCGTATTTATTTTTTTTCGTCTTGCTTGTGGATTTGGATTTGCTATTGGAACCGGTCGATCGAATGTATAGTCGTTGACAAAACAATGTTCCAAGAATACATACAAAAATACAAACACTAAAGCAGCATTTTCTGTAGCTTATTTGTATGTTGATGTTTGTTTTCATTTGTATTAGTTCATCTAATTGCGTATATACAAATTATGAATTCCATGAGTTTCAAGTTATCCATTTGGTGCCTCAAAATTTTAAGCATTGCATTGGTTCAGTGGTTACGCTTACGCTGCATGACACTGAAAGTCTCAGGTTCGATTCCGTGTGAAAACAATTTTTTTTTCTTTCATCTTTTTTTCTTATTTTTTTTATTTCATAGTTTTTTTGCATTGCTCCATTTTTTATGAGTGGAAGAAACAAGAAAAAAATGGGAGATAAATATTTTTTTTCTTGATTCTTCCACTCATAATAAATAGAGCAATTCGAAAAAATATAACAAAAACTAAAAATTCTCTCATCTGAACAACAAATTTCGTTTTTTTTTTTTGCTTTTCACTTTTTTGGCGAAAATCCCTAGCAAATCGGAAGAACAAAGTGAAGTCAAACAAAGTGAAGAGCTAAAAAAAAAAGGTCTTTACTTTTAGAATCAAAAACCCTAGCAAATTCGAATAATTTTCGCGAAAAAAATTTTCTCATACAAATCACAGTGGGAGTAAACCCGCCCCCCCTACCCCCCTCCCCCCTTCGCACATTACTGATTTGTTTATATTCTTTTGCGAAGTTGTTTCGCAATCTCCCTCTAGTACAGAAAATTCATTGGCATTGATTTAATTGACAAATATATCTTCGTTGCCTTCAAAGAGCCGATTTTACGCCATTTTGAATTGAAAGTTAAAATTAAATAAATAATTTGAATGAGTCAGTTAACAAAAGAAAATGTCAAGTCTCAAATGTTTTTGTCATTGATGAACTGAATACGATTTCCGGTTAATATAATTTTATAATGTTTTATATTTAATTTTTTCGGTCTTTTTACCTCTGTGTTTCATTTTTATGTTTGCAACAAAAAAGATATTGATGAGTGTTCTGGCGGTCCTTGTGAGCATGGGGGAACCTGTATCGACCTTGTTGGTGGTTTTCGTTGTGAATGCCCCCCAGAATGGACGGGTGATGTATGCGATATCGGTAAGTCATTATGGCAATGTGATATGAAACGAAAATAATAATAAAAAATACCATCCACATTTGATGACTATCCATCAAGTGTGATCAAATGTTACTCGTAGAAATTGGCAACATGGAAATAAAAACCCTAGCATTATTAATCCTTAAACGCAATTTACTTTTCCTTTTAATGAACAAATGAATCGCACGAATGGATTGAAAAAAATAAAATAAACGCCGACAACATCAGATGTTAATGAATGCGAATCAAATACTTCGTCTGCATTGGGTCCGTGCATAAATGCTGAATCATGTACGAATACACCGGGCGCATTTACGTGTACCTGTTTGGAAGGATGGAGTGGTTTGACATGCGCAAAAGATATTGATGACTGTGTTGGTCAATGCAAAAACGGTGCAACATGCATCGATTTGGTAAACGATTATCATTGTGCTTGCGCCAACGGTTTCACAGGTACCCCTCTCACCCAATAGATTTATCTTATTATATCATCATCTTATATCTGTCATTGCTTTTTTATCATAATTTCGATTTGGCTTTGGCCATTGATAAATCTTACTACATCAAATCATTATTCAAATCTCAAATTCTGTGAGAATCATTTTTCTTGTACATTATTTTTTTCCTTCATTTCCAATCTTCTTTGGCTTGCCAATTCGATTCTTATTTCAATGTTTATTGAACTCTCTGTTGTGTGCTTTGAATTAATGATTTTAGATTATTAATTTGACACGATTTTTTTTTATCATTCTTCTTTTTCGCCTTATGTTGCTATTCTCACATTTTCTCAATGCAACAATTTTGCTTCACACAGGACGAGATTGTGAAACGGACATTGATGAATGCGCCGTGAATCCATGCAGAAATGGTGGCGAGTGTGTCAATATGATTGCGAAATTTAAATGCATTTGCCCAGTCGGATACTCTGGAACACTGTGCGAGGTATGTAATCATTTTTCTTTTCCATATTTCTTCTCTAGGTATGTAGTTTTTTGTTTTGTTTCGCTTGTTCTGATGTTGAACGAGTGAAAAAATGCGACCCATTGTTGAATGACGACGACGACGACAGTCAAAATTTGAACTGATTCATAATGACAATAATCTCTTGTGATCTGAATTTAAATCAGGGAGCAAACACGCTGAAATTTAATTTGATTGGTTGATTTTAAGTAAGCAAACCGGAAATATAGGCCTGTTACTGATACTGTTGCTTCAGTTGCACTTTTTCCCACTTGTCCAGGCGATAACTTTCATGAAATCATCAACTCGAATGATCTGTAGTATGAAGTGAGTACTGGGAGACTGAGAGATGTCAGCCGATTTACATTTCATGTGATGTTATTTTTGTGTTGTGTGTTTTTTATTTCAATTTTATTTCTGTTTTTTCAAAGCCAGTTGAAGAATATTAACGATACGATTTTAAAGTCGATGTTTGTAAAGCCGTTGTTTTGTGGTGAAATTTTTTGCACTAAATAAATACATACGGCTTCATGATGCTTAAAAAATATTTATACGTTTTCAAGCATTTCATGCCATGTCACATTTGACATTCCACAGAATAAAAAAAAATCATTTTCAACATAAATCCAAATGAAATATGAATACATTATTAAAAAAAAGTGTCAGTGATCAACTGACAATGCGTATTAAAGATTTAATTTTGAGAACTTTTTGGCATACAATTAGGGTGTTTCCCATATCTGAAAATAAAAAAGTGGTATCTATCAATTCAAAGTACACAAAATTCTATGACAATTGATAGCATTCGCAAAACGATCGATTGATATTAAGACTTCCTGAAGCAAAATCGGAAGTAAATTCAATTGTTGCTATGCAGTGCAATTAAATAAATAAATACTTAGATTTGAGACCTTCACCCACACGTACTCTATTTATCCATAAAATTATTATCGAAAAACGTGCATATTGCATTTAAAGTCCATTAGACATGTGACAATCAATACATATACTTGCTCTTCTAAACTTCATCCGACAAAACCTGGTTCACTAAATCGAAACCAGCTACAAGTAATATCCATATTATATATGCACGTCGTCAACGGTGAAGTTGGGACTTGAGATGGAGATAACATCCAAACAGTTTATAATGTCCTACAAAAAGAAATCATACACAAATTTGTTATTAGCACAATATAGTATTACATGTTGAGCATTTGTGAATCTGGGAGCTGAACAACGTTGTCATCCGCATCGTATGCCGCGTTTTGTCGCCAGTTATTTCGAAAACATTTTATCTTAGACATAAAACCAACAGCTTGATTTGGATTCACAATCATTGCTTCTCGCACATTTCGTCGTGATAGTAGCTCTCGCTTGCTTTTCATAGTTACAATTTTCGTCGGCCAATCATCGTCATCTGGCATACATCATTCACACTCAATGTTTTTAAAGGGCTTGGTGAAAAAAAAAAACGTGCGCATATTCTTGATGTTCTGTACTCGTTCACTATTTAAACCACATTGCCCTTCATTTTCTTGAAACATTTTATCATTTTTCGATTGCCTGGACATCTTATGTTCTTCTTTATCTTTATCGGCGAGTTATGCGATATTTGAGCCGCTCCCGCATGAAAATGATACATGGCTTGCGATTTGTCTATTGCGAAACAAGGATCAATTTAATTCAATTTTTAACCACATATGTACTATGTTCTTACCAGCATGGCAGCAATCTTATCGCATACACGATTTGATTCAATGTATTTATCGAATTGTAGCCGGTCATGTATACTGCAATGGCTCTCTTCATAATTGTCAGGCGATGAGTTATGTAATCTCTCCAGTTTTCTGCCTTTGGACTCGGCATTCGCTCGGCATTCGGTTATTTTGATCATTCTGTTCGAATGCAACAAACTGACGCGTCCATCGTTTGGCTTTTGAGTTTCGCACTCCTTGTTTTGTCATGTAGTGGTACTTTTTGCTACTTATTTTAAAATTCATCTGTAAGCGGAAAAGAAACAACATATTCGATAGAATAATTTTTTACATGATAAAAATGGGATGCCTTTTTGAGAAATCACATACTCTTTACCAGAGTCAATATGTCGTCGGACCGTAGCATTCCAGGTTTTCATTCCTGGATCAATTCCCAATACGTACATGAAATGTCCATCATAATAATTTTTTCGAACCAGTTCATCATCCTCCAAATGTTGCAATACGTCGTTCGAAACTTTATATAAAATTGATGCAGACACACCATCGCTTAAAACATGGCAGTGAAATTGTTTGTTCGCTTTCAACACTTGACCGATTTTTTCCATGTTGAAGATTTCACCAAAATAATACGCTTTATGTTCACAAATATGGCCCGTTGTAACATCCAACGGAATTATTTTTGTTTCGCACATCATCCAGTATAGAACATCTTCATCTATTTTAACGAATTTCCGCATGTGTGAGCAAATCGGAATGACGGAAAGATTTTTGGTAACATCCAGTCTTCAGAAATTATATCGCGGTTGTCTTGCATCCAATTGTGATAACGATCAATCTTTGCTTGCATCTCAAGCCACATTGGCAACGATGCGAGCGAATTTTCTTGTGTATCTTTTGCGATGTTGTCATCAGCTGGTCCGCTAATGTCTCTTGCACAACTCAGCAAGCGGTAGCGTTTGCTCAATCTGTCAACATTATCACGGTTTGAATTGTAACGATGGATTGCCCAATTTACTGCATTTTTTATATCAATGTCATCGAAAACGTAGTCTGGATCAACATTGTCCTCGTTGAATTCCCAAACATTCAATCTTAAAAACTCATTAAGACGTTTTTCATCATGTGTGGTGAGGATGGTTATGACATTTCGTACGTACTCTTGATACATGTACTTCATATGGTTGCCAAAATAATTATTGTTTGGGCATTTGAATCGATTGTTGCATTCCAATCCTTCGAATGTTTCTCTAAACCACAGATCCATGCTTTCAGTTTCTTTGTATATCTCGACTCGAGATTCTCGAGAACGGCAAAAAAACATTCCTCAATTATTATAAGAAAACTCCTAAGAACAAACAATGAGCATTTTTTAATAATATCACGGGGGACGGCTGACCAACATACATATGAAATATGTATATTTTGCGTCACTCTATATATACGTTAAAGAAATGAAAATCGATACCGCTGACTTTTGGAAAGGGGTTTTTGCATATTTTAGTAGTGCTTGGGCACCAAATTAAGAATCAGCAAAAAAAAATCAAAATTTGGCCGCCAGGTGGCCAATTTTTCTCGATTTTTGACCACCCAAATGATTTTTTCGACATTTTTTTGATCATATTCGGAATCTGGGAACCGCGTAGATAATGTTTTAAAAAAATATCATCACGATCGGTTGAAAAGTGACCGAGATATGGCCAGTTGGCCAAAAATGGCCAAAAACTTCAAATTGGCCGGTTGAGGTGTTTGTGTGTCTGTCCGTACCTTCTTTTAAATTGTGTGAAATTATTTTTTTTCGAAAGTAGACTGAAAACTGAGCAAACTAATTTCTCAGTTTCAAAAAAAAAGTGGTTTTGGTCTGAGGTCGAATATTTTTGGGAGGCCGTTTTTGATTTTTTCATCGATCGGACATTTTTCTGGCCATCTGTAAGGTACCACAATGATTTATACGTCGTTGGAAAGGTAAAAGACTCACCTTTCCGGATCCGAAGTCAGAATGGAAAAATTTTCAAAAATGTCCGCCAGGTGGCGAGTTATGTGACATTTTCGGCGAAAAATGACCTTGAGTTTTTTCACGTGATCCAATTTTTTAAAAAAATGCGTCTATGAAAAAAATCAAAAAACTAGGCGTTTGTTAAGGACCAAATAAGTGATGATTTGGCGCATGTGTCATATCTGGAAAAATTCGAATTTAAAAAAAAAATCATTCCGAAGTATAATAAAATTTTCGGCAATTTTTCAATTTTTTGGTCATTTTTGACAACAGGTATACGGGGTGTTTTTCAACAGAATCACGTCATTCTTAGCTTATTGGAAAGACATATAGGTCATCTTGGTGAAGCAATAAGGAAATTCTGAAAAAAAAAATCAGCGGAAAAGGTTAGATCAGAGTGACTAGACCTCGAAAAATGGTGAAAAATCGATGAAAAATGACGATTTATCTCGAAAAAATGTATGATTAGCTTGGATTTTTTCATCATAGATCGAAAGCGCACTCAATTTTGAGCCGATATGCACATTTTTAAAAACCAACATTGTTTTATTTGATGAAAATTGGGAAAAGTGTGAACTTAAGCGGCCACCTATATTTTAATATCTTAGTAATCCACTGTACTGTGCTAGGTTTTTAATTTGTTGGTCCACTTTGACAACTGATTTTACATAATTCTGACCCGAAAAATTTAATGGTGGCAACCGTTTTGAGAAATTAGTTCAGTTTTTTGAGATTTTTCAGCTTGAAATCTTTCTTTTGGAATGATATTTCGGAAAAAAATGTTTTTATTCGATTGCTAAGAAAATTTGTACTGGGGGGTTTTTTGGTACGAGAAAACCGAATCTGAATTTCGTCATAAATTACTAAAAAAATTATTGATATAAGTACAAAACACTTTTTTCGAAGTTCCCACTGTGACGCAATACTGTAAATCTGGAAATGTTCTGATATAAATTTTCAGTGACGCGTTCGTTCATATGTATGCGTACAAAATGTTAATATTGCGTCGCCTCTAAAATACAAACACAAGAAAAAAGACGTGTTTAATGTCATAATCAAAAATCATAGGTCAAAAATTTGCGGTTTTTATTGATTTCTATTATTTTCGTGTTGTTTACACGAATCGTTCTCTTGAAGTGAAATAGGCGACGCAATATTAACATTTTGTATGCGTATACGAACGAACGCGTCACTGAAAATTTATATCAGAACATTTCCAGATTTACAGTGTTGCGTCACAGTGGGAACTTCGAAAGAAGTGTTTTGTACTTATCAAATAATACTGCAACATAAAGTTTTTTATGAATAGTTTATTTGTTGTATTACAACAAATAAACCGTGTGAAAAAACTTCATGTTGCAGTATTATTTGGAGAAAAATAAGAGCTACTTTTTCTCCGCAACGATTCAAATAACATGCTGAAAAATTAATAAACAAGTAAAAAAAAAAAAACAATTTAATCATTACCATCGTCGAAAAATGTCCAATCGTTCGTTCGTTTTGCCTTCTCATTTTCTTCTCTTATCTTCAAACCTTGCGAACTTTTGGCCTAGGGCCGAAAATACGACCAGTTCCTTTTCTTTTTCGTCCCATTGTAAACGCAATTCAAACTCACTTCAACAAAAATTCAATCGCTGCAATTATTTCAATTTAATTGGCATATAAACACCAAAAACCAGCAATGCTCAATCTAATAGCTGAACAGAAAAGAAAACAATTGACTTAGTTAATTATTTGATACACACTTGACACTTTTGTTCTAAATATGCAAAAAAAAATCCAAGCCTTTTTATAGTGATCTTACTTCGATGAAAACGTCGACAAAACTGATATCCGAATAACACTCGGCATGACGATGTTGATGTAACCAAAATGTTGCGAAATTCTTGATATGAAATTTCCTTTTTTGAAAAGACTTGTGTGGACAGGATTAAATACACAGCATTTTTCGCATAATGCATTGTATTATACATACAGCACATTGCCAAATGTCGACACACGACCAAATGTAGGAGGTGAATTGAAATTAAAAATTAAAAATTCACTTTAATTGCATTTTTAAAAGTAAATTATGAAAGATCAATATCAAATCTCTTTTTTATAATCCAAATTTTGATCAGAAATCATTTTTATCACTTTTTTACGTCAAAAGTTAAACTATGTCATTTTGAGACAAGCCGGTAAAATGCATTTTTTATATGAAAAAATAACTAATTTGGAAAAAAAATATGTCTGCGAATTGTAGATAGTTTTTCATTTTTCACTGTAATATTATTCCGGAATAAATCGTCCAATTGCCGACACATAAAGCACCGAAGTTTCAAGTGAAACACTTTGCATTTGAAGGATGAGACAGTTAAAGTCGTATTTGGATCATTGTGAAATTCAAACCAAAAATATATCAGTGAAATAACGTAATATTTTTAAATATTTTTACCATTTTATTATGAAAAAATAAATAAAATCAAATATGCAGCAAAAATATATCAATCTAATAATTTCAACTTCGATATTTTGTATTGTTTACCTCATGTGTTCATGAGCTGTCAAAACTTAAATTTGTTCATGTTTCGCAGTGAAAATTCATGAAATATGTTGAGATTTGGGAGCCGAGAATTGGACGACAAATATCCGACATTTGGAATTTTCGATGTTGTGAAGGAAAAATGGAAAATAATAATATATTTTTGGAAATTACTTTCTTTTGACAAGTGTGAAATGAAGCACAATTAAATTCTGATATTTTTAGATGAAAGCAAAAGTGTTAAATATTAAATTGAAGTTGAAAATTCAAACAAATAGTCCGACATTTGGGCAAGTGTCCATACAATGTGCAGTATTGTCATGATTTGAATCAGCTTAAAAAATCGGCAGTAAATATTCTATGTTTGTTGTGAGCAAAACTGAATTTGTTTTTTTGTTTTTGGTTGAGCGATGAATTTTGCAGTGAACATATTGCAAATGTTCTGTTATTTCAAAACAAAACAAAAAGAATCAAATGGAAAATTGACGGCAAAATTCATCTCGAAAACACATCTCCTGTGATTATTATTATAATGTGATGAATTCAGAATAAAACTATGGTTACAACAATTGTGTAAATACGATCAAAATTCAACGTTCGTCGGCACAAATAACAACTATTTCTGAAAAAAAAAAAAAAAACACCAAGTATAATTTTGATTCGATTGTGAATTTCGTTCGATTGTGAAATTGAATATGTCACACAACTAAACTGTGAACTGTCATCATCACACTGTCGCCACTGGTCCTTACCGATCACAAATGCTTGTTTTTGAAGTTGATACGTTGGGAAAGTCTTTATAGAAAAAAATGTATGCATTTCATTTCTTTATACAATAAACAATGGATTTATATTCTTTCCATCAAAAACATCATACGGATTTCTTCATATTGCAGACATTATTCTAAGAATGTAAACGAAAAAACAAACAATAGCTATATAGTGCCCAAATCAGATATAAACAATATAAGGCGAACTGGAGAATTCCGAGCACATGACAATAACAATGTTGATAATATCAGAACAATACACAAACATATTGTGTACAATCCAGTGTCTTTCTCTTCAGGAAGTCTTAATATCAATCGATGCGTTTTGCGAATGCGATCAATTGTCATAGAATTCTGTGTACTTGAAATCGAGAAATACCATTTTTTACTTACTATTGTGATCAAAAAGTTCCGGAAATTTTTAAATAAAATGAAAAATCTTTATTTATTCTTCCAAATCGATTTCGTCGCCTTCAAAGTAATCCCCCCCGGCTGCAATGCACATACGCCAACGTTTTTCCAGTCTTCGATGCAGCGTGAAAACTCACTTTTTGGTATGACGTTCAATGCATGCAGAACATTTTGTTTAATCTCTTCTATCGTCTCGAAACGGTGTCCACGAAGCGGTCTTTTGAGCCTTGAGAATAGCCAGAAGTCACACGGTGCTAAATAAGGCGAATACGGTGGCTGTGGAACGATATTAGTTAAATTTTTGTGGAAATGATCTCGAATAACCATGCAGTGTGAACCGATGCATTATAGTGATGCAAGAACCAAGAGTTGTCTGCCCATAAATCCGGCCGCTTTTGGCCAATAGCATTACGCAAACGACGCATAACATCCAAATAATACTGCTTGTTAACAGTTTGGCCGGTTGGAAGAAATTCATAGTGCACTACGCCACGATAATCGAAGAAAACTGTTAACAACACCTTTATATTTGAGCGACTTTGGCGTGATTTTTTCGGTTTTGGTTCACCTTTGGCAGGATATTCACTCGACTGGTCAGCTGTGTCGTGGTCATAGGTAATAATGCTTTCCTTGACCGAATCATAGTCTGAGGCCCAAACGGTCTTTTAAAATTTTGAGAACAAGATCTTTGATTTGCATGACGTGATTTTCATCAGTTGACGATGATGGTCGTCCAGATCGCTCTTCGTCATCAACACGTTCTCTGCCTTCTTTGTACTGTTTGTACAACTTATACACCCTATTTTGCGACATGGTCTGTTCACCGAAGGCCTTCTCCAACATCATTAACGTTTCTGCAGCAGAAATTTCATTCCGCATACAAAATTTAATGCAATATCAAATGCATTTTTTTTGATATAAAAAAGTCAAGCGCAACTCAACACTCAATGAAAATATTGTGATGAAATGTTGCACAGATGTCAATGACAGTGCTACCAACCTACTGAAGAAATATTTTCAACGATTATTTTTCCCCGCGAAATGTTATTTAAAAATTACCGGAACTTTTTGATCACAATAGTACATTGCAACCAAATGCTTTTAATTCCCAAGTTGATAGTAGGGGAGAGTCACGTAGGTTGGGCCGGGTTTTGTTTTTTGGCCAAATTTTTTTACTCAAAATAAAAATAACGTATAGTTATATACCGTCGGAAAGGTATTGTTCCGGGCTACAAATTTGCCGAAGAGAAAAATTGATTGCTTCGGAAAAAAAAAAGTTATGATCAAATTTCCGAACACGTGATTTTTGGCCCCCAAAAAATTTGTCACGTAGGTTGGGCCAGTATCCAATATTGAGAAGAGGTTGGAAAAAATAAAGTGTAAATGCCAGATTTCAAGTGTTTAAGGTTGATTTATTTACAACAAAGGCTTTCACCATGAAAATATAATGGAAAAATATCAAATATTCATTTTTTTTCTTTAGAACTAACATCGGCATCTGAGTCGCAATTTTTGCACGTGAAATAACTTTGTGTCATGTGGACGCACTTCAAATGGAATGGCCGTTGACACTTGTTTGCACTCGATAGAGTTGTGTTTGGTCAATTTGGCTGGCAAATTCTGCAATCTGCATGCAGATCATGCAGAAATCCACGTCTTCATCTGACGACGACGATTTCCTCTTTGAGGCGGCGGCTCGTGCGGGCTATATTTGCTTTTTTATTGACTCTTTTTGAGGTGAATGCTGTCGCTTCTTTGTGCCTTCTTCCTTCTCCTTTTTCCTAGCATCTCTCTTATGCCGTCTATCTTTGAGGTAGGCAACTGATTCTGGTGAGGTGAGAACAGTGCTTTTGGATTTCCGTGTGTTTCGATGAGCTTCTAGAACATTCCATTTGGCTTTTCTCGAAATTTCTAGAACATTCTATGGATTTCGGTGTGTTTCCATGAGCTTCTAGAACATTCCATTTGATTTTTCTCGAAATTTCTAGAACATTCTATGGATTTCTCTGTGAAAAACATAGCATCCTATAGTGGCCCAACCTACGTGACTCAAAATGGCCCAACTTACGTACCTCGGCACCAATTATCACAAATAAAAAGAAAAGTTCACGGGTTCAAGAAACTATTTCCCACGTGTATTGAATGATTTTCGCAACAAGTAAATTAATTAACATATTTGCAAAAACAAATCACAAGCATACGCATGATTTATAATCGACGATGACATGTATCGTTATTATCCCTCAAACGCACACGTGGGGTCTCTTAGGCCCTAAGAGTTAGTTTTTTGAAAAAATCACAAAAATATAAAAAATTGGAAAATTTCGCTGAGCGTTTTCTTTTTTAATATCATATCTATGTGATAAAATCAAAAATTTCAATGTTTGGTGCATAGATGAAGTT